ATTGAGCACTGAGTTAGTAAGTTCTTGGAAATATATATCATTACACCATGGTCTACTTCCTGAGTAGTAATGGTTAGCTTAGAGCCCATCATTTTGTGTGTGAAGTTAGGTTTAAATTTCAGAAATCCAAGTAGCATATATCATCCTTTATCCACATGATTCTCAATTAAACCAAAAAACCAAGGATAGAGTATGCATATAACTGGACACTGGGGAGAACAGATGATGAGCATCTTCCTTAACTCCATTTACAGACTGTGCTGACACGAGGTCTTGGCACTGGAATTTAGAGAAAGAATTGAAAAATGGAATTGACTTGCAGTTAGTGTCTGAGTTCCTTTCATGCTGAGAACAGATCTCAGATCTTCTTTATTAAAACAGGCAAAAGAAAAGCAAAAATCTTTGTAGTTGGGAAAAAAAGCTGTAAATTGAATATAGTTTACAGCATGCTAAGGAGCCACTATGATAAATGTGTCCTGTGTCACAGCCAACTTAATTTCAACTCTGTGTGACATCTCAAATGTCTGTTTTTCTGCAGTTCATAAGTAAAATACCTTAGCAAAATGTGTTGGGTAATATATACCACAAGGTTAAAATATTTATGGTTTAATTTGGTGCTGGACCAAGACAAGAGATTGAGGGGTGTTACAATTTTGGGGTTATTTGCTGTGAGGAAGGATTTTGTTTCTGAAGGGGTATGGAGGTTGTTGGTGTTCAAAGTAAAAAACTTTGTGGACCTGTCCATCAGATCTGTGTGGTACTAGGGTGACTGCTGAACATTAAGATTCAGTATTTAGTTTTGCATATAGTCAAATTTTGATTGCTTAGGGTTTGTTGTCTCATATTTCCCAGCCTTTGAAACATACTTGCAGACCAGTACCAGGGGCTACTTTGGGAAGAAGCAGCAAACACTGCATCTCATCACAAATTAATGGCATGGAAAATCAATGCTTTGATGAACGTAAGGGCGTTGTAAATGAAGCGTGACATATGAATGAATACTGCTTTACTGTGGTAAAAGTGAGATGGTTGTTTCTTATAAGAGGGAAACATTAGAGATTGATAGATACCTCTAGGCAATTTTACTTTCGAGTGAAGATGTATAGTAGCATTTGGGGGGGGGGAGGGAAAAAAGGTATTTTATAGCTGAAAAAACATTAAAACATTTCTACACTATGATCTGAGAAAAAAGCTTTAAATGCAATATGTAGGCCGCTTGCCTGATTGCATCCTGAAAATATGAAGAAGAATGCATTTTATGCATTCATTATTAATATATTAATATACTACTTCAGGTTCTATAATTCTTTTCTAGTAAAGAACCAGATATGTTACAGGAAAAGTAATCTTTTTCATCTTATAAAATCTTCTTAGGTGTATTTTGCAAGTAAAGAAACCTGATTGCAAATTAAATTACACTTTAAAATACAAAACTTCTTATGAAGATAATACAATCAATTTTAGTTTTAGTCCAAACAGGGCTAGCTTAGTGTGAAATCTACTTAACTTCCTTTCTCATGCAGCAGGTGAGAAGGAAGTACTGTGTTCTTGTTAGAAGAAGTAACCTTTATCGATTCTCACTTTGCGTTTTGCGAAACTGATCTGCCCTACTTTATTCACTGGATATCAGCACAAGCATGCACCTTTTTGCCCTCCCAGGCTTTTTCCATCATTTACTGTGGTCAGTTGTCAACATGACCATTAAGGACTTTTTCATACTGTGTGTCCTCAGTGCTGCCCATTTCAGGAAGAGATTTACTTATCTTTCGGGCATAACTTCATATATTCAATCTTGTATAATTCCTGTACATTTTTAAAAATCTAACAAAATGAATGTGTTACTACAAAAAAAAAAAGCAAAAATACTAATTTTGGTTTGGGTTCATACCTAAATTATCTCCACCTTATTTTCCCTGTCTCATTTCTATTTTTTTGTTCCTGATAAATGACTAAAGAATCTTTGTTCTACTGTATTTGACTTTTGACAGTACTTCCTGTACTTTTTAATCTAAAATATCCTTCCTTGCTCGTCAATCCTTTTACCCCATTTTGTAGGCTGCTTAGTTTTCCTATTGTTCGTGAAGCAACAATTCATCCAACCCTCTCATAAAATTATTTCCCCTTACCTATGATGATGGAGTTGTTAGTGTTCTAGCATGTTTGACAGCAATGTTCTTTTCTGCACTGTGTGAAGGGTAGAAATTATCCTTGGAGAAAGGGCCAGATTGGGCATTTCAGAATATTTTTCTCCTACTGCACCTTGCATTCCTACTGCATAATTTGATAGTGGGATGAGAGTGCCCTTTTTTAGCTAAGCATACAATCTAAGGGTAAAACTTTATTCCTAGAAGTTAGCATATATTGTCCGAACCTCATTAGTCTCAGAAGGAAAAAGAACCCAGATATCTGGAAAACTGATTTAACCAGGTGGTTGTTTTATAGAAATAGGTCCTAATATCACCAGCATAGTAACTACAAGTAAAAATTTTTCCTATTTACAGAAAATTAGAGAAATAATTTTACACACATAATGTTTTTGCATATATATAATTACAGAAAAAGATAAATCAGTCTCATGTCCACTACCTAATTTAGTTAACTGGAACTGAATATTAGTTGTAAGTTCAGTCCTGTGAGATACAAATTAATCCCATTGTTTATGAAACTTGACCTTCATTTGTTATGGAAAACACATTTGTAACAGTCTTAAAAACTGAATGTTTGTAACGTTAGGAAAGAAGCAGGCAAGAAGACGGACATCACTGCATCTGTATTGATGGTGTGTCTGCACTTAGGCTACTCTGTTCAGTTCTGGTTCTCCACTTCTCACTCCTGCTCTCCATCTTAAAAAATACAGAACTAGAGAGGCTACACAAGACATAAGAATGATCAAGGGCATGAAACTTCTTCCATGTGAGGAACAAATAAATGCACTAGGAGTCTTCATCCTGAAAAAGATCTGAATGGGAAAGATTGCTAGAGGTCTGTAAAATGAGAAGTTGCAGAGATAAGATGGAGATTGATTGTACAGTCTTTCTTATAGTATAAGAATGAGAGAGATTGTACTTAAGTTAGTGAGTGGTTTGTTCAAAGCAAAACGTGATGGCTTTTCATACATTATTGTAATCTTTTCATCTATCATGTTATTGCAAGTTGCAATACTGTGTATAAATTATAGGAGCAATGGCTTGTTTAGTTCATTGTGCAGGTAACTGTCTATATAATTAATAGCAGCATGTAGGAAAAAAGATCTGTGATCACTAGACAGTCATGGGATCACTATAAATAGTGATTTAAATAATACTGATATTAATGTATGATGATATATAAGTAATATTTGTATATTGCTTTCTGTACTATATATTGCATATAGTGCTATTTAATATATTACTAAATTATTAATGTACCTATTACATTGATATACAATATATAATATCCATTCTATTTGTAATGTGATGAAGATTATTAATAAAATATTAATATAACAATATTGGTAGTTAGCTAAGTTGCCTTCTTATGAGTATTCATTCCATTGCTATTTCTCCCATTTCAATTTTTTAATAAATTATGTGATTGATTTTTAACTAAAGAAATATACTTATGAGCTATGCTCTTAAAGAATCACATTTTTTTTCTAAATAATTAGCTTACGTGGATATATGCTTTTTTTTATAACAATTAAGCCTGTTGATGGTTCCTTCAGTATTAATCATTGGTAAAATACTTCTGTTGTTTGCTAATGCTACTGATGTTTCATGGCTTGTTATACCCAGCATAGTATACCATCACATTATTGACTCATTGGTTTGCTTTTGAACATTGTCAGGGAGCTTTACGTGATACAAAATACAGCTTTTTGGAGTAGACTGCACTTGTGCTGAGAGGTTCCCACTGATTTTTTGTATCCTGGTGTGATTGAAGGTTTTAGTCTCTTCAGGTCTTAAGTCTGGGATCTAGATGGGATGTTTTTCATGTTGGTCAATTTGACACTTCCCAAGACTAGCAATAGAGCTTTTGTAGTTAAGGGCAAGTTAACTCAGTTTGTGCAGACTTTACAGCATAACAGTATTTGACTTCAGGATTGATTAATTTTATTTGTTGCATAGATTTTTGTTTTAAAGTGCCAGAGCAGTACTATGGTTAATGAAACCCATTACTGGTAGATTACATAGCCAGGTTAGCAGAACCTTGTCCAAAGAAGTGTGATTTGTAGCATTGTGGAGGAAATACCAACTGTTGTTCAGAAAGTACAAACTGTATTGTTTTTACTTGCTCTTCAGCAAATAATAGAAAGGCATCTTTTGAGAAGCTCCAGAGGCATCTGGCTTATGGGTCATGACTACTTTTTATGCATAACCGACCAACTTCACCTGTGCACAAACCACATGATACACATTTTCTACAGTTCTTTGCATCTTGCTATAGACTAGATTTTTTGTGTCACAGGTGTGGATGTGAACTCTTGTTGTTGAGTCCAACCGTAACTCTCCCAAGAATGGTAATTAATTTTTCAGCAGTACATACTACATATCTAAACCAAAAATATGAAATTTGATTGCTCTATGTTTAGCTAAGTATTAATGGCACATATTTTTATTTGGAAAAAAAAAAAAAGATATTTTTCTATTATGTGTTTTACTACAAAGATATAAACATTGAGAGTTAGTTTTATATCATTAAATGTATTTTACTCCCTGAAGTGCAATAAAAGAAATTTTCATTCTGAAGGCTACATAAACTCCAAAAATTGTAGATAAGTACTGTTCTGCTCAATAAACTGGTAATTATTCATGGAGATTCAAATTATCAAAACTGTGCCAAGTGTTTTATTTTGTCCTTCTTTTTCCTTAACAGCCTCTTTACTGTTGACCTGTTTAATTTACAAACACATACATACCTATAAGCTATTTATTTTCCATAGATGTAATAGGTTTTTAATGTTTGAGATGGCTGAAAAATTGATTAATTTTTTATGTTTTATCTTGTGTTCTGTTCTTTAGAGTACTCGAATAGCTTTAGACCATCTGGAGTCTGTTCCTGAGAAACTGGGCCTTTTAGAAGATTTCAAAGATATTGGAGTGAGAAAGATTTCATTTGACTCTTTCAGTAGTTCTAAAATATTTTGGTTAATTAATGTCCTCTCCATATGTATAGATAAATAGGTGAATAAGAATTAAAATTACATATGTACATATTAGGTAGACAAAAACATACAGAAGTTTGTTTTCATGTTTATACAGATTTTTTTTTTTAGGTTATAAATTTAGTCTTAAATAGTATCACTGCTGAGGTGCGACATAACATAAGCAAACATTGGTAACAGGGTATAATAAGTTCTAATTACTGGTTCAGAAATTTTGTATTGAATTGTGAATTCTGGTACTGCTTGTTAAAAAATGGAAATTTTGTAATGAAATAAATTATGTCAGTTATTTCAATGTTTAAAGTAATGAGTGAAAATGTGAGCTTTAGAGCTTTTTGTAGTTGTTTTGACATAATGCCAGTAATTGTCACTTATTTTCCTAGTATCACTATCAAATCAAGGTGTGTTTGTTTGGACAGAGGGATATACTGACGGTAGTGGTGGAGTACTGTCAAGAGTGATAAAACTCAAATTACCAAAATCTTCAGTGTATAAGTGGCTAAACCACTGTATTATTATTATTACTTTCCATACATGAAGTTGATGGTTTACTAAAAAAGAATTAGGAACGTCATTGCACAATATAAATTTTAAATCAGCATTAAATGACAGATCAACATATGCATAGTGATTTGTATTTTATTTGTTATATAGAATTTCTCATCCCGAGGTAGTCATAAATATTTCAAAACATACTTGTTTGGAACATCGTTTATTCTTAAGTGTTCTTGCATGAGATCATGTGTTAATAATTTGTTGTGGCCTGACCCTCACCCCAACTCCACAGCCTGGCCCAGCCCAGCCTGGCTCCCCAAGCCTGGGATGAGGCTGCTGGCTGGGAAGGAGAGTGGCTGCTGGTGGTGGCAACGGCAGGCCGAGGGGGCCACAGCAGAGGACAACTGAGCACCATGCAGGCATTTACTCATCCCCTCCCCTCTCAGGAATGGGAAGGAGAAAAATTAAGCAAAACGTATCAGGAATCCAGATAAGGTCAGGGAGAAGTGGCTCACGCATTATGGTTAGGAGCAAAAGACAGACTCGTTAGGGGAAGGAAAGAAAGAACATCACTAATTCCTACGGTAACAAAGACAACACTTAGAAGTCAAGGTGGGACAGTGAGAAGAGCCTCCACATCCAAAACCACTTTCCCCCCACATCTCTTCTTCCCAGGCTCAACTCTGCTTCCAATCTCTCTACCTCCTCCCCCAGCAGCACAAGGGGAAGAGCATGGGGGTTACAGTCAGCTCACTGCTCCTTCCTTCTCGGGAGGTGAGGTGAACACTGCACATTCCTCCCCTGTTCCACGTGGCTCCCCTCTCACTGGAGACAGTCCTCCATGAACATTCTCTGCAGTGAGTCCTTCCCACAGGCTGCAGCTCTTCCCATGCTGATCTGGTGTGCGTCACCCCCATGTGTTGAAGTCCTCCCTCCCAGTGCTGAACCTCAACTGTGGGGGCTTCTTCTCCTCTCAGAGTCCTGGCTCCCTTTAAATACAGACGCCTGTCCTGGTGTGGGCTCCTCCACAGGCTTCAGGTTGGTCTCTGCTCCACTGTGGACCTCCATGGGTGGCAGGGTGGGCGGCCCTGCCATCTCACCATGGGATACAGGCATCTGCTCCAGCACACCTCCCCCCTTCCTCCTCCTTCCTTCCACTGACCTGGGTGTTCATCCTTCTTGTAACTCCTCCTCACAAGTCCCAACCCCCTCTCAGGTCCCCCTTAAGTATATTATTGCAAAGGTGCAGTTACTATTGGCTTGGCCTTCGCCAGAGGTGGGTCTGACTTGGAGCCAGGGGATATTTTGAGAAGCTTCTCACAGGGTCTACTGCTATAGCCCCCTCCCCTGCTACCAAAACCCCCGCCATGGAAACCTAGGACATAAATGTATGTTCTTTTTTTACTTCCCCTAACGAGACTGTCTTTTGCTTTTGACCATAAAGGGGGATTTTTTTCCCCATCCCAGTCCTATCTCAAACCCCAAGCCTGGCTCTCTGTCCTTTCTCATTGCCAGAAGAGAAGGGGGAGAGAGTGGCTGCGTGGTGGTTGGCTGCCGACCAGGCTCAAACCATGACAATTATACACTGTTTTATTGCTGTCAACATCAACAGAGTTAGGAACACAAATGAAGATTGAAATGTTTGGGTTTTTTAAAGTGAAACGTTGTTGAGATGTATAGTTTTAATTTCACATTCAAGGTATCCCCAGACAAGCTTTTTGCTCTGACAGAGGTTGGCATTTGCCTTCTTTTTATGAAGGTTCTGCACTGCTAAAGAGAAAATTCTGCTCTCAGCTAGGCAAAAGAGAAGCCTGAATGCAGGGTTTCTACAATCTCCTTCACACTTGCACTCACTTGCTTGATGTCACTATGAAATGACTTTGCCATTTTCCGGTCTGGTGTAGTCATCACTTAGCCAACGTTCATGAGATTGGAACCCGAATTCTTTGGTTTAATTTGAGCTCTGTCCTTCTCCACGATGTTTAGTTTTCTTAAGGACTGTTTTCTTAAGATGAGTCCCTACCAACAACTATGTATTGTTTGGTAAATAATTTATTATTCAAGAGAGCTAAGCTTTATACCTTATCTGTGAGAATATCAGTTTAGAGCTTCATTAATTCTTCTATTTGAAAATAATGCATTGGGTTTTTATGTACCATAGCATATTTTACTCTCAAGTGGTATGCATGAATGGAGTATTTCAAAGCCATTCATTGCTTTCCACTGCTATCAAGTTCTTCACTCTGTTTTCATAGGAAGAGAGAAGGAAAGAGAACATAAATCTTTGATAATGCCTCATAACTTTTCTGGTAGTTTTATTCATTCAAGTGAATCATTAGCTAGTTCAGTGAGAAGCATTTTCTTATTTAGAAATATTGTTTAGTCCATATCCTTAGAACACTTTTTTTTTCTTCAAGTGCTTGTTTCTACAGTATTGTAATTAATTTTTCACCATTACAGAATTTCTGTTAAAAGGTATGATATTACTGAATTTTGGAAAGAGTTACAAGAAATCATTCACCAGTTAAGGATGAGGCCAATCACATTTTAACCTATTTTCATTTTAACATTACTTTTCTATACAGAACATTATGCTTTTGCATGGCCCCTGTATTTCAACAACTGAAAGTAATTAATTCGTTCTTGCTGTATTGAAAATCCTTGGTGATACCTGTGTTTACAATAGCCAGCCAACATTTATTAACTGCTTTTCACATTACAAAATCATTTAGATCTTTCAATGCATATCTAGGAGTCCCATTGCCGAAGGGAGATGATTGAGGAAAGGTATACGAGGTATAAAGAAATAGTCAGTTCTCTACAGCAACAACTGGAAGATTCAAAACAAGGTGTCCAACAATTCAAGGTATGTGTGTATAGTCCACTTTTGTGTCCTGATTACTTTCAATCAGCAACATAAGCTTATTTGATGTATGTTAACTGCTAGTACAAATGCAGACTTAAATCACACATGAATGTTTCTGTTTTATGTAGCTGCCATGGCTGATGTAAAATTTGATGTGAGAAGTATTGTCTTCATTGTAAAGTGCCATGTAAACTTTTCAAAAGTCTTTAAAATTTCCCAGAAAATTGTCTAACTGTGTCTTATTACTCTGAAGTGTTTACCTGCTTTGTAAAATTGCTGTCTACAGCAATTTTTTGCTTGGTTTGTTCAACTTTCCCTTGTCCTTTCATGTAAAAATAGCTATAGAAACGTGTTTCCTCCATTAAAAGGATGATTAATTTGTAGATCATGTATAGTGATTTTTCAGTAGCTGAGCTTTGCGTTCTTTACAAAAGATGCTGTATGATGTCTAATTCAGATATATATATATAAAATCCAGGTAGAGGAGAAGTGATTTCCTAAAGTTCACTCAGTGGACTGATAGCAGGGCTAAGCATAATTTCCTAACTCCCTGCAATACGAATCCAGTGCTCTTATTTAGAAACATTGCCTGTAATGAGTTCACCTTTCTAATTGTTAACACACTTTATTTCTCTTCATATTGCTTGTTCATTGTCACATCACTTCTCACTGCGTGTCATTGTGATAGCAGCTTACTTTGCCAGAACTACAATTTCGTATGGACGTGGTTGAAATAAGTGCTAAGAACTGAAAAATCATGCTAGTATTTTTGCTACTTGCCACAATCAAATTAAGATTCTTTGGCAATGAATCTTACCAGTGTCTCTGAGCAGTTGAGCACAAAATCTAGATTCACACACTGTGTATCAAAAAACTTCAAGCTGTTTTTGTTCCCTACCTCCTCCATAACGGTATTCCTTCTGTAAAATGAGGACATACTTACCAGTAGGTCTTTTAAATAGTAGAAAAATTAAAATAAATACAGAGTATTTTTTAGTAAGTTGCTGTTGTAAGAAGAAGGTATTAAGTCACTTGGAAAAGCTATCTTGTTCTTCTGTAGGAAAGAATTGAAAGGGAGAAATAGGACAGATTCACTTTCAGTCTGTTGCTAATGATAATCTTCAGTTTCTTGAATTTCTATTGTCTTCACACAAGAGTTAATAATTCAATAGCCATTGAAATTTGGAAAACACTGAAAAGCTAAGTGGAATGCAATCAGCTGACAGTAGAATATGATATTGCACTAAACTGGCTGAACTTACTGAGCTAGCATGATTTAAACTCTATATTCAGAATACAGTATAAAGATGATTCCAAAACAGTATTTCCTCTTTCTTTAGACAACAGAGAACGTTTAATGGCTTCCATTTAGTCAGGCCTAATTGTTTTTTTTCATGACATACAGTACTCTACTGTCACAGCTGTTACAAATAGAACAGAATGTTCAAAAACAAGTAACAGACGGGTGCTAATCTGATTTCAGTGATCAGGCTAGCTTAGTCTACAAAACCCCTTTTTAATGCTTGCCTTTCGTACTCTCCATTGGAACTAACTCAAATGTTTGTTGTTTAATTTTTATTATTTTACTGTTAGTCAGTTGGGAGTCTCTAAAATTGATTGATGGAAGAGTGTAGGCTTGAGGACATCAAAGTCCATTCTTTCTGATAGTTTTGATTCATGCTCTGTACACAGCGTAGTGCTTCTGCTATACAAAGCAGACAGATATTTGGTAAGTGATAAGAAAATGCATGTTTTAAAAAAGGGAGTTCCTGCAAAATTTTTACATAGACCATTTTAGATAAAATTATTTGTGGAATTAATCTTTCTCCTCTGTTATGCTTTTCTTTCTAGCCTTTCTTAAAATACACTTTTTTCAGCTTGCTTGCCAACATTAATCTCAGACAGGCATTATCTAATCCTGTGTCCTAGTCTCTTATTTTTAGAGAGCAAAACTGAAACCAAAGTTGAATATTCCCTTAGAAGGAGTCAATTTTCTTCCTTTCTTATGATTTCATTTGTCCCCACTCAATCTTTCTACTCCTCTTTAGTGTTGTTAGATGGCTGTAAAATACCTGTTGCTTAGAAGCCCAGGAAAATCATAGTTACTATTTGTATGTGTTAAAATGTAAAATTTCCAGTAATAAAGGAGACCAGAGGCTGACAGAATACCATCAATTACAACAATAGTGATTTTTCAAATAAGAAAGGGCTGAGTGATAGTAGATAAAGAAGAAATTGGGGGAAAATAAGGTAACTATAGCATATAAAAATAAAATAAATAATAGAGAAATACCAACCAGAGCAAATTCAAAAGAGAAAGTTAGAGGAAAACTAAAGATACATATTATGATGGATAGATGCAAATATTTTAGGACAGTTTCCCTGCCATGAATAACTGACCATTTAGTCAAACACAGCATACAGATATTATTGTAAATGAAGCACATGAGAAAATTTAAGATTTCTGTAAAGAGAAAACCATTTTGTATTGCAGATGCTGGTAGAAGCACCTTGCTTGTTTAAAAGCTCTGTTCTAAAATAGCATTTGTGGAAACAATGAAAAGACAAAAACTTTTTTATTCTTTAACAGTTGTTATTGTGCTACGTACACTTTCGATACTAATAGTCTCATCAGCATGTAAGGGGATAGATAAGTATAACTCCCGTTACTCTTAATAGGAGTAAATCCCTCTTCAGTGATGGGACAAAAGCTCATTGTATGTTGAATTTGATTTTGTTTTCTGTTTAGTTTCCAAATCTTAGTATCAGCATGAATGATAAATTGCAAAATGTTTTAACAAAATTCCCTGTGGCTGGTTATGATAAGAATTCAGCAGCAAAATTTAGTGTTTTATGAACTGATGCATTATGTCTTCTCATTTCAAGAAACAGTAATTTGGAAACCAAACCGAGCTTTTAATCTTATTTTAGAAGATATTGCAACTGGGGATTACTTGCTGCAGTCCTAATAAAGATTTACGGAGATTTTTGTTTAAATGGCTTTTTAAAAATTATCTTTTTTTAGCTTATAGACCAAATGACTTTACTCACCAAAAAACTATGCTGTATGGATCTAGCCATAAATAGTAACGTTGTACTTCATACTTTATTTAATGGTTTAACAAAAAGTGGAAAAACAACTTCAGGTATTTTGGTATGAGAAATCAATGAAGTTTGAGTTTCCTCACTGGCAGGGAAAACGGATTTAATTCTTATTACTACTTACTTGTGGAAGTTCAGTGAATTAATGTGGACCATTCACTGATGAAGAATTCATCTTTCACTGATATCTGCCCTGCCGCAGTGCTTTGTCCTGAATTGTGGATGTGATGTAAACAAGAGAGAGAGCATTTTCACAGCATTTTGTAGTGACAGAAACTTTCAAAGCTCCCAGTGCTTTTCTGAAGGCAATGCATTTTTTTGCAGAGATTTTGTAGTGATGAAATGGGCATGATATTCATAAGCAAATTAATTTGAACCTAACTGCAACACAGAGAATTCTGTGAACTCAAATCAGTATTTTCTAGCATGTGTGAAATCACAGTGTGTACCTGTATGTGTGCTACTGTATGTTTTTTGTTAAAGTTTACAGCTGCTTGATATTAACAGATACATGTTACTTTTATTTGTCTGCCATAGGATGTGAAAGTGGATCCTGAAATTTCTGATATAGAAGTGGCTGCTCCCTCTTCTAGATGGCGAACTCAAAACAGCTTTTTGTCCAGCTCACTCCTCTCAGATTCAGGTTGTAAGTATTGTTTCACAGAAAAAATCTACAAGTAATATATTTTCCTCCTTTAAAGCTGTTTTACTTGAGAGAGTAAGCCACTACTTTTCAACAAATAAAAAATGCTGGAAGAATCTTAAGAGTCTTCCTGTGTTTTAGCTTTAGATACTGGATGGATGCCTTTGTCTAGGAAGTACTTCATTATATCCCACTAATAGTTGTTTGGGTTTTTTGACTGGGACATAAAATGTATTCTGTTTGTCATCCAGACCTATGCCAAAAAAAAGGGCTGCACTTGGATTCTGAATCCCTGCATGAAGAATCTGAGCTGTGTAAGCTGTGTATCTTTTCAGGGACCAGAGACACATCCTCAGCCAAGGATTCTTTCTCATATCTATTGTTTGTACTAGTTAGTCTCATGCTTGCGTAGCAGTTTAACGGTGAAAGTTGAATTCACTAATTCTACTTCTACTTCAGTAGTTGTTTTTAACTATTCTTTCTATCCTCTAGTGCATTTACAACTGGTGGTCATGCAGGGTCACAGGATCTCTGATACAGATAGGAACTGCTCAGTAAAGGATAGGACAAATTAGAACTTTATCTGGTACAAGCACACCTTTGCATGAGTGTCAAAACTAACTTAAAGTTTTTTAAGGGTTTTGTTTGAGCATACGTGGATATCAGAATGCTTTTCTTCAGAAGGATATCACCTTCCATTTCTCTTCAATATAGCCAGTTTCTGTACAGGGAACCTATTCAGTAAGTTTCACTCTATGTAATAGAAAGTCCTGTTTCAGGCTTCATTGCACTTTCAAACCTTTGCATCTTAGAATGAGTGCTGCAGTACATTACTGCTCACCAGTAAGTCCTGAGTTGATCTGATGAGGTTAAAGATAATTGATTTCTATTTCTCTCAGAATCTGTGGATTGTGATTAATATTTTTTTTTGCAGAGCATAATGAATAACAGTAGTGGGAATAAAGCATAAGAGCAAATGACTCCATCTCATCTGTACTTCAGGAACAGTTTCCCCTGACTCAGAGTTGTTTTTCCATTTTCCCTAACCTCATCCCTGTTAAAGTCTTGCAAGTCAGAGTACAGATCAGCCTGGTTGGGGTATAGAAAAGAAATAACCCATACCTTGCAGGCATGTTGGACTAGATGACCTCCAGCAGGCCCTTCCAACCACAACAACTCTGTGATTCCACTGCAAAAACTTGCTGAAATTTAAAGATGCAGCATAAATGTTCCTAAAGTATTACAGTATATTTATATTGCTTAGCCTGAATGAAACTTGCTAGGTCTTTGTTACTTTAGTACTTTCAAATCAGTTTTAGGCAGTTGTCAGAGAAATAGGATCCATGTAATCTGAATACCAATCTGATGAACCAGTTCAGGGTATTTATTCTCTGATTCAGCTGTTTTTTACCAGCACTAAGCTTTCTAGAGGTAAAAAAATAAGTGATGAATGAAAGGCAGGAGTGATTCAATGTTGATAATTATGAAATATTTGCAACGTCTTCAGCATTTGAGGAAGGCTCCTTTTGAAATCATGTTCAGGCATGGTTAAGGGCCTTCTTTTGTTTTTCTTGTTTAAAACTTTTAGGAAGGTATTTTCCACATCATAAATTAAGCCGATCTTCATATTTTCCAAATTCCAGAATGGTGCTGAGAGTGTTTTTAGTTTTGTTCTTTTGCCCAGATGGTAAAGAGCTATTTTTAAAACTTTTTTTTTTTTTTTTTTTAAAAAAAAGGCAAAAAAGTAAGAAAACAGTTTCACTTTTTCCTATTTGTTTTTATGGAAAAGGAATTGGATACAAAATGCTTTTTAGTTTTAGTTTCTTACTTGTATTCTATAAAAATCCATTATTTAAATTTTCTGAGGCTAAAATAGAGAAGAAGGCATAGAATAATTTTTCTATCCCTGATTTGATTTGACTCTGGTAGAATGAAGGTGGTGTTCTTAATTTCTCACTTTGCTGATTGTTTTCTCTTAAGAGTTAGTGTTATTATATGCTCTTTATGCTTAGTGATCAAGTCAGGTGCCTGTTGAAGATGCCTAATGTCATTTTAGATGTCCTAGAGTATGCTTCTAGCTGTCATTCCAAGAAGACGTAGGTTTCCCATAGGTCCCATCACATCTTTCGCAGCCCTTTGTGGATGTCTGGGGTAGCTTATGGCACTAAGGTGCGTGAATTACTCCATAGACTTTGATTAGTGCCTTTGTTTTACCTTTATACTCAACCTAATCGCCACCAGTCAAATGTATATTTTGAAGTTGTTGCTATACTTCTTGAGGACAGTGAAAATTCGGCACTGGTATTAATATTAAGGAGCTTTTCTTGTAATAGCCAGTGAGTGGCAAATAATAAAATCAGCTACTTCAGTCATGTTAGTCACATAAATGCCATGAACTTTTAATTTCAGTAGTGATATTAATTAGTTATAATCTGAGACTTTGACAGCAAAGTATGATTTGAGGTCTTTTGCTCCCAAATCTCCTGTAGCTTTTAATAAATCTACATATAAATGTCATCACCTATTTTCTGTGATTAATTTATCTCCTTCATTCTTCTGTTTCTGAAGTAGTGCCTTTTTTTTCCATTTACCTTTTGAGCAATTTGCAAGCCTTTGTGATTTAATGTTTCCCCACTCCATCTCTCTTAAATTCATGAAACCTTACGGATTATAGAGTCAATAAGTAGTACTAGAAGCTCTCTTCCCAATATGGAGGTCCTATGACTTCTAGAGAGCACCAGGGTGGGGAGGAGACACGTTTGAATGGTATAATTTAATTTATCTGCAAGAGTGATCCCAGGATTTAAGTTTAAAATTTGTTGAAGAAAGAGGGACAGAAAGTATGAACAAATAAATAAGGGAACAACAATCTGATTCCATGTATATATATTTAGTAAAAAGTTGCCAATGCAGCAGGAAGTTAGAAGGAAAAGTAATTAACATTAGCATTCTGTTTTATGTCTGTTTCTGGTATAATTTCTACAATTATAACAACTTTTCCATAGCAAACTATTTTAAAGATGCTGTGGGAATGAGCTTTTATTTCTATACCCGTTTTCTTAAAAAGGAAGAAGTTTAACTGAGAAAATAATTTATACAAAGAGGCATACATTAAACATGATTTGTAGTCCATATTATCATCAGACCAGAATGGTTGGTCTAAAAAATCACTACTAGTTGTTATCTAAAGAATAATCCTCAGAAATTGTTTTTCATGTCACTGTATTTTTCTTAAATTTTGTATTACAAAGGTCCCTAGAGTTGCACATGCTTTGCATTAGCTTTGTGAATTGGGTCCTGCCTTTCTCTTTGTACAGTTCATCACTTCAAGGTTTTAACCTGGATGGTTTCCCAGAAGCCATATGGCTTTCAGGCTTTCTATTGTTGTTGGGAATTTATGTTCCAGGGCTTCATAAGTTGTGACTTTATGGAGAAGAAAATAGCCACCAGTTCTTGCAAGTTCTGTAGCCAGGATACACAGTCTTCTCTGGCCCTTTGGCTCTGGTGATACGCAACACTCTTGTGTCAACATGGTATATAGTATGAGTGGTATGACGCCTGAATAAAAACAAGTTGTCTTGAATGTTGATTCTATTGTCATAACAACTTACTCCTGTGATGTATGCTGATGTCTTTATTTATCCCTCTACGTATAATTTTTCATAAGTTCTTAAGAGTATTTGTATTGACATCTATAAATAATTAAAAGTAGAAAGACATAGTAACATCCTGGTGCTGTGGGACACCATTCTAGGCTGCTCAAGGATGAGAACCTGGAATGATTGGAAACTTGACATCACCACTTTGAAAAATGCAAATTGATTTAGTTTATCAATTAATTTTCTTTATGATGTTTCACTTTACTATGAATACTGACCACAGGAGGTACTGCTGAAATAGCATACAGTGGCATAGTTTTAGATCAAACTTTACACTGAAAAAATGGTAACTCACTGTTTTAGTAATGTTCCAAACACAGTGATTGTCATTCTCCTGAAAGTGAAAACATCTCACTTCTCCTAATCAAACTGTGAAGACTTGCTTCCTATTAAATAACTTTCGGTTGTATACTACTACAATTTTCTGGACTATTAAAAAATTACACTCTGGGTATTTACTGCTAACAATCAGGAAGGACCACTTTTCTTACACGCTTATGATACAAGGAAGGCCTTTAGAAGAAGGATATGTTGTATAAGCTCAGATCTACTTTCTTTCCCTTAATTTCTGCCTTTTGCTAAGTAATTGCTAGATGTTTGTATATTCAGATTTTTTTTCCTCCAGCACTTTATCATAAGGTGTTCTGTCAATTCATATTGTCTAGATTTTGATGCAATATAATGTATTTAGAAATAGGTATTATATATGTACCCTTCTGTGAAGGTATATACACAGTATGGCGTCCTATGAACACCTGTTCAGTGTCACTTCTTGACTTTAGTTCATGTTATTGGTAAAGATACTTCTTTGGGAATTTTCTGAGTGGTTTGTTTTGTCTTATTTAAACAAAAATGCTGGAAAATTAAAAGGAAAATAAATGTTAGTGGAATTATTAAACTTTAAGATGCAGTTTACATTTCTTCTGTATAGGAAAGCTCTTGGCTATGCCTGTATTATAATCTATTTCTCTAGAAAAATCAGTCAGTTTCTCAATTAATAGCAGTATGAATATTGAGTATTTGTAAATACCATATTACTTGCTGTGTAAATTATAATATTGTATAATGAAATATGTGTTTCATATAAACATTGTTGGTCAGACAGCAAAATGTGTTTCTATTAAGGTGTTTAATTGCTTTTTTTGTCTGACTTATTTCTAGCACTTGTGAAAAGAATGGTTCCTTTTGAGACAAGTGCCATCAAGGAAGATTCCATTAATGCTGCTGTCAGTGAAATGAAGCTGCAAGCAGAGAGTGAGAAGCAGTAGAACATTTTACAGAAACACACCAGCTTTCTCTGTGGTAAATACCATTCCACTCCATGTTGGTTTTGAACAGTAGTAATTCCATGTGCTGTAGGAGTGATGCAACCTTAATGATTCAGCTATTGCCAAACACTTAAATGATAGAGTACCAAGAGTGAGTCTAATGAACTCTTGTGATAATTTATGTAATTTGTACACCAAAGGTTTTCTGGGATTATGCTATTCTCATGTATTTGTTTCTGCAGTCCTCCTAAACTAAATTTATGGTATTCCTGAAGTATTGTGAAATGAAAGACCTGTGACATTAATCTTTGCTATAGCTTATTTACCCCTGTACAGGAATTGTTCTGACATTTGTTTTTTTATAACATTTAGTAACATTATTAATAATGAAAAAAATATTCAGAAATTACCTTTGTCTTAATATTTATTATGAGAGTCATTATACACTGTTGTGCAGACACACCTGTGATTTTAGGTTCTTCAGTTTGCAACAATCTTTAAAGAGAGAAGTGCTAAATATTAAACAAAACCAAATTTCCTCAAAATTAGTGGAAATTCTTATAATGATTTCAGGTTCAGCATATATCTGTTATAAGCTGTTTAGAATTATTCTTCTGACCAGAACAATAACCTCTGGTAAGGCACTTAAAAGCACCTGAATCTCACCCATCTGTATTAAGCATGTTGAAGGGCACTGCTATGTGGCTGTGAAAATTTTAATAGCAGGGTTTAATGATCATTTATTTATTCTATTTTGTTCTCAATTAGAAGAAGTATGTAATATTGATTTTAAAATGTTATGGAAATACAATATTGCACAGTCGTATTTGTTCAGATATCTCTATTCTAAACAAATTGGATACAATTCTGCATTACTGTGGCCTCAAACAGCACATCACAGCAGAATTTTCTGCTGTTGAAAGAAATGCAAGTGTTTCTGGTCCTTGTTTTGTCCTCCTCTCTAGTGCTTCCCGTTGAATCACTACTAATGTACCTTGAAAAAATTGCCAAATCTATCAGAGTATTGTAGCAACATGAACACTAGTGAAACCATTTTGTTTTGTAGGCTCCTTTCACATTTAAGAACCCTATTTCTTCACTGAAACAGGCTATTTTTAGCACTGTAGGTACCTCAGGCATAATTTGCAGGTCACTATGTGCCACTTGAAAACAGGACTGTTTTTTGGATAGGGTTGTTTTTTTATTTTTGTTTTTTTTTTTATAATTTTCTGAAGAAGTGTTCTGCAGTCCCAGTGGGTTCTCTGGACAGTGCAATTACCTGACAATCCCATTATATTCATCCTGTTTCAAGCAGAACTTCTTAAGATGTTTGAGAACATCCAAATCAGACAAGGAAATGGGAAAAAAAATGAATTAATTTTTATTTCATTTTCTATACACCTAAGTTACTTAAAATTGAAAGAAAAATCTGATTTGGTTAAAAAAAGCTTTCTTTACCTGTTGTATGTCTATAATGCTATGCATTGTAGTGCTGGCATTGGCTTTTTGCAGACTTCTGGCACATCTGCTCATTCAGAAGGTCAAGAAAGCAAAACAGGCACATCCACCTCTTCTGATCTCAACAGCAATGACAGGTCCAAGACAAAAACATAAACAAATAAACTTCTACTCTGGAGAAGGCAGGACAAATAGAAACCTGTTTGTGTCATGGTCTGCAAAGAGTGTGGATGTCCTGAAACTGTTTAGCTCAAGCCACAGTTACCATAAACTAAACTTACTTTAAGTGTATCCAACATTTGTAATTTATTTTTTTAATTAGATCAGAGCACAGCTGGAAATATGGTGTTTAAAGTATTTTAGCTGGTTTGCCTGGTGAAACATTAAAAAATTGCAAAATAAAATGTCACCAGCTTGTAGACTTTATAGTACCTATAAATTATGACTAGAAATATAGAAAGGTAATTTTAAAATACATTATAAAACAGTAAATCATGCTCTCAAAACACCTCATGTTGTAATGAGGTCTGATGCATGGATTGCTGATGGATAAATATATGCCCAACCCACTTTACTGAAGTTGAAACAATTTTTGAGGTAAAGCACCTGTTGGTAAATGACTGGAGCTGTAAGAATCTCAGCTGAGAAGTAATACACAGAAAAACAATATCCTCTCTTTTTCCCAAGAAATTTGTAAAAATCTGGATATTGATTGCGCTTACCATTTTATGTATTTATACATTTTTTTCCTCAATTGTAACTCAGAAATCTGAAGTCTGTTTCCTTAAAACAGTATCACTTCTGCTTTATAATGTTAGAAAACTAAGGACAATCAGTCTGAACTCCCTCATTATTACATCAAATATTAAGTCGATTTTTGTACAACTCGGGACAGAAACATCTACTAGGTGAATAATTTTGCCTTTAAGACTTTAAATATGCTCAGTGTTTAGTATATTTGTCTTTGGCCAAGTGACTGGGTTTCCAGCAGAGTTTTATATCCTTTTTTAAAATTTTCTAAAAAGGCTGGGGTAACAGAAGGGAAGAAGTCAAACCACAAAAAAAAAAAGAGGAATTTTTAATGAGTAGGCTTGCAGACTCCAAAGCCAGGAAATTCTTTCTTAAATTTACCCTTTTGGCATGGCAGTCCAGATAGCATGTAATATTTGTCTCTCTTCCACCTTTGATAGAGGTTCATATTACAAAGTGAATTTTGTTTCCTTTTTACTGAGGGCTAAAGTTCTATTCGTGACATTATGTGAAACTGTCCCTTCGTGGTTAAAGAAATAATATTTTTTCCATATTGGCCTGAAATAATATTCCTCTGACCAGTTTCAGTTTTTAAAGTAGAAAACCAGATAATATTTTAATAAAACATTTTGTATATGTCAGATCTTAAAAATTGCTGTCCCTCTGGGCAATCAGATTTTTGTAATGCTTTAACTCTTTAATGACCCATTCCTTGATTCTTGCCCAAAGTTTTCAATAACCAAAAAATGTGGTATGACACCTGAAAACTGTGGTTTGTTTCTTTGTTCTTTTCAGCATTTGGTAAATCAGGCAACTTTGTATATATGTACTAAGTGCATACACATTTAACAAGCTAGTATCAGGCATCTGTGTCTTTTTAATGCTGTCCTGAAATACAGTCGCTCAATATTGTGCTTTCGGTAATCCACTGGCCCTTTATTTCATCATCAAATAATTGTCTCTTGAATAACCTTTACATTTTATGCCCTTTAGTTCCTTAATGTTTTACAGCAGACTTAAGAGTACTTATTTTTAATTATTTTTGAGTTGTCACTAAATATTCAAAAATTTATTTTTATTATGTAATTATGTCCACCTAAGAAGAAAGATCAAAATAAAAATTAAACTTCATCCCGGATAAAAAATAAAATTTTACATTGTAAAACAAAGCAATTTTCTTACATTTGCTTCTCAAAGTTTTGATGGAAGCCAGTCTTCAGTGATGGTGAAAGTACTTCTTGGATATTCAAACCTCAGCCACATTTTTACTAGCTATCCCATGAAAGTAAATAAAGAAGATATATTACAATTCCTTAGAACAAAGAAAATAATACTATTCAAAAATCCACTTTTGAGCTAAGGAATCTGCATATCAGTTCATCTCTGGCTTACAAGGCATATTCTGTGCACTGTGTAGCAGTGAATGAATTTTTCATAAATGAAAGTGCCAATATTACTTTGAAAGTAAACAAGTAGGTACTTTTGTAACAATGATACCATTTTTATGGCTAAAAATTAGTCGTATGAAACTGAATAACATCCTCATACTACATTCTACAACATGCAGAAGAATTTATTTGTGAATTTATGTGGGACTGCTTGTTACGATTGAATTTTACAATGGCTCTGTTAAACTCTTCATGTTCAAAGTGTGTTAGTAATATATTTATCTCTCTCTAAGCCCTGTGTTCATCTCATGGAAGTAATTGATACTGAAGTTAATGTGAGCTGCACACCCATATCGGGGGATGCAGCCTTGTCAAAAACGGATGTGCAGGAGGACATCACACAAATTCCTGTGGTTTTGATCTAATTGTAGAATTTTGAAGCAGATATAGAGGAAAACTAGTAGTAGAAGGAATGGGAATTACCTCATGGTAAAATTAAAATTTCAAAACATTTTTATTCTTGGTGTATTCATTTAAAAACTGCTTTAGAGCTAGTACTTGTATCTAAATATAAGTGATCCCTAAATAAGTTTCCAGATTGGATAAATTATTTTTCTTACATACTAAAATACTTTTTACTCTGGCACAACATATCTTAACTCTTTACTGTAAGCATGTCTAGGCTGTTATGAGTATGAACTCTTGCTTTTCTATGTAAAGAATTGAATTACATTTTAAATCTGAAGAACATGTTAGTGCTGTATACAGAAGTACAGCAGAGCAGAATCTGATAACCTTGGTCTTTTAAAAATCTGTAAACTAATGTCTCTGGGAATGTTGACAACAAAAATGAAGAAGATTGCTGTGGTTAAAATACAACAACATCCAACATTTATCATTTGTGCTAACAACAATAGCTCTCATGTTTCTAAAACTGAAGTTGCACATCTGTCATTTTTTAGGCTGCAAGAATTAGATTTTGTTTTCTCTTGCCTTAATAGTGGCAAAATCTGTAATATCATGAGCCTTGAGAAAATACGCAGTGATGATAGTTTTTAAATTTCTAGTAATTTTAATTAGGTACCTACTTGGTGATATTTGGAACTAAATATTTTTTGGAACCTGACTGTTAACATGTTTTCATTGAAATATTACATTTAAATACAAGAACTGCATAAAGATCTCTTTTAGGATAATTCTGCTGTCTTTATTTAGCGACATGGCTCCTTAATATATATATGTTTTGCTTGAATAAGTACAGCAATTGTTCCTGAGTTGTCTGTTATTTTCATCTGTCTTCAGACCAGAGTTGTTTTGATCTTAGACTGATTTTCTCATCTGCCATCTACAGTGCACTAGTATGTCATAAGACATACCATCATTTCTTCACTTACCCCCTGTTAATAATTTTGGTAGTTGTTATGCCCAGGGAATTGAATTACGTTAATTTTGAAGACAGTTGTTTCTTATAATTTCTTTTCATATGAATTCTACCACTCTTATTTGTTTACTAAAATAAAACCTACTTGGTAAACTGGCTAACATCAGATCACATGCTGCCTAATTTTAAATATTATCGCACAGGCAAAAGTAAATGTGTCTTACCATGTTTGTCTAGATTTTCTAAATGCTACCATTCATTCTACTATCGGTTTGTAGAGCAAAATTGTTGTTGCAATAACCCTGAAATATTATTGATTTTGGGCAGAAAAAGAGGCTACAACTAATTTAGGAGATCTGCGTAAGTGCTTAGTCTAGAACCTAAAAAAATACATATTGCAAAATATAGTTCTTCAGTGTGTCGATACCAAATTGCCCTCAGTAGAAGCAGTTGCCAACATCTAAAATATTTCAGAGAAGCAATACCAAAATTTGCTAAAGATAATCATGGAATCATAGAATCATTTATGTTTGAAAAAACCTTTAAGATCGTCAAGTCCAACTGATCGCACAGTATCATTCTGCAAATATGGATTTCTGTGTCGCTCATTATTAAACAAGCACTGAACTGGGAAACCAGCCCAATTTATGCTCCGGCATTAGGCTCTTCACAGAAACCATCAGTGACCCAGTTTTGTAGTTAGTGTAGAAAATGATGAAGATGAGCTGTGTTTTACTGCTGGTCAAGAGAATAGTTTGCATCTGTGGCATAAGCTATTTTGTGTACAAAGCTCAATGAGTGCACCATTTTTAACGAGGCTTTCACTGCTGGGTGCAGCACTAACAACACATTCTCATCCAAACAGCTGCAACCATGAAGACATCATGTAGCTGGCAGAATTTTTGTTACATGTTTTGACTAACAGAATGTCAATAAGTCCATCAGAAACCATGGAGTTGTTTGTTTTGTTTTCACCAGAGAGGTTTCCAGTGCAGTCATAAAGCTAGAAAATGCAGAAACCTTAGTGAGTGGTGAGGCTCACTAGTCACACAATGTGAATCTGTTAGCCTGTTGACCATTGAATGATTAGAGGTCTGTAAATTAACAATAGACTAATCAACAAAGTTTTTTAAAAGTAGGACAAAATACTGTTATTTGGGAGATAAAAAAATCTCTGTGAAAATGGAAAAATCAAGTATCAAAAGTCATGGAACACTTCATTTTTCCAGAATGCAAGTAATTTCTTAAACTTCACTACTGTGACAGCCTTTTATAAACTATCTTTGAAGGCCCTGAATATATTAATCAACAGACATCAATCCCACTTCATGTCAGCTCTTACTGTGAGAGACTTGCTCACTTTGATTTAGACTTAATTATGTCCCATTCTTTGGGAAATTCTGTTACGTGCACTGTGCACTGCATCTCAGACTTGGAATAATTCCATTGGTAATAGCTGATGTGCTATGTATGGAGTGCTGGCTGGTACAATGTGTTTTAACAAATAGATCAGATGTTCAAATTTCAGCCTTTGTATTACATTGCCAGAAGAAAGTGACAAATAGATAAACATTTAGACTGTAGGTAAGAGTGTCCTTTTGGTGTATTACTGTGATTTTGAAGGTGAATCACTTTTGAAGCTGAGATTTCTATATGTGCTTATTAGGAAAAGCTGATTTTTAAATTCTTTCTTTCCTTGAAGAGCATGAGAAAAAAATGTTAGTCACTTTTGAGTTCTGGAACATCTTTTGTCATTTTATCCTGCCAGTGTCTCATTAATTTGGGGATAACTAAAAAAGCAGCTAGTTCTGATACCTCATTACAAGCACTCCTAATTAAGTTGATGCATGAGTCATTTGCCTCCAGATCTTTTGTTTTCATTTAATTTGAATAAAATACAGTGTTTTTTACATTTAGTATTCTAAAACTGGAACAAAATTAGTCTTGTGATCTAGCTTTTAGGTTGGGAAATTCTAAAACTAAGATTGTCTGGGTGTCTTGTCCATGTGCCACTGAACTTATTACATCACATTTTGCAGTCAACTAGTACCACTGCAGTATGCCATAAAGTGACCTTAAAGAATCTGCAGAATTTCAATGAATTACACAGATGCAGGATGTCTCTGTACTGGTGTGAAGCCAGAAAGGTCGGTTTAATACCTTTAAACCTTGTTGTACCTGTTCATGTAATGGAGATAGGTGTAGTGGAATGAAATTCCTCAATGTGCGATTATTTCCTGACATAAAGTCCTTGACAGACCTTTCCCATTCGTTAAGCAAGGAGTCCAGCTCCTGATTTAATATAAAAGGCTCCCTGACCACATTCCCATATAAACTCAACTCTCAGCAGGGTATTAGGGACATCTGTATGAAAAAACGTGTTTCTGTCTTTTCTCTGTTAGATTTTCATCTTATCTGTCCTTTCTCATGAGTTTGATTCTGTGTGTACATATAGACATGTTGCTACTTTTCATTCCTGTAAAATACACCAGAGAAGGCAACGTGTTGAAGCTCACATTTCTGTAGAAACCAGAACTATAGAAGTTTCCTTCAAAATTGATTTCTGAAATGTAAAGGTGTGTTCAGACTGCTAATAGCTATGTAGACACCATGTATCGTCCTGTTCACATAATTACGTATCTTTAGTATAAACAGAGACACGCATAAACATGTTCATACACTGTAAAACTTTACTGGTCAAAAAGAAAATTAATCCTTTGTGCTTGGAAATCAGTAAAGCTAACAGAAACCTTGTCTCTAATATCGGTGGAGTTATGATTTCATGCTGAATTTGAGAAAAGGAGGGAGAAAAGTTCTCAACCTACTTTTTCATTGCGTTTTGGAGGTCTGCAAGTGTACAATATGTGCTGGTCTGGCAATCAACAAATACTGAAAAATCCATGGTCTTATAAAAATAATTTCATAGTAAACCGTAAACATTTAGAATAATTTGGGACTATTGCATTTTTCTATTTTAGATTTTTTTTCAAAATCTGATAGATGGGATTTTGAGTTCATTTTGGTTCTTGTAGAAGTGTTTTTATTTTTCAAGAAGACTTAAAACAAATTTAGTTTTGTAATGAAAACTACTGTTTCAAAATAATGAAACCTTCTCAAAGGAGAGATACTTCATCTGTTAAGGTGTATCATTTGTATTTCACACTCACCACTAAATGTTTTGTTTCACATCAGTTTTTCAAGAAAATCTGGTAATTCATTAAGTACCTAAAATAGGAATTTTCATATGTGTAGCCAGAAGCTGATTTTACCTTACATCTAAATACCAGCACTATTGATAGACTTTTTTTTTTTTTTTTTGAACAAAAGACTCAAAATAAAACCAGTTTTGATTATTTGTTAGGCATTCTCTGACAAATCTTTTTTTTTTTTTTTGTCCTGTGATATTTTTGTCCCAAGATAGCTTCCCAAAGTGTTTGTATTCCAGTTTTTCCATTATCTGCCATCGTCGGGGTGGGGGGTGTCGGAAGACAACTTAGCTATCATGAGAATTACATAGTGGGTTAAAAAAATATAGAATCATAGAATCATTTAGGTTGGAAAAGATTCTTAATATCATCAAGTCCAACCAAACTACTCCTTGACTTTTACTTTCTGTGAATTGCATGGATGCAAATAAAACTAAGTCTACAGTTTGCACTTTCAGAACATCTCTTGCAGGTTGAGGAACAAAGCACTGTAGAAGTATTAAAGGAGAAACTTGTTACCATGTTATTCCGAAGCCCAGGTCCTCATCAACCTGTGAAGTTTGTGGTACTCACTCACACACATGAGGTCTGACTCACGTGTCACACCAGTTTGATTATGGTGTGGGTGCATTGACTTCAGAATGCCTATGCTTGATTTATACCAATATGAAGCCAGAATCAAATCTCATGTATTGAGTGTAAGGACCAATCAGAACACAAAGTGCTGAGATTGTGCCAAGTGGTTACAGTATGAGGTGTATGAAAGCTGTCTGTTGTGCAATGAGTACGTTGCTGCAGACTGATAGCTTGACACAGAGTCTGCCGGTATGTTTAAGGTTGGTTAAGGGTCTTCCTGGAAATTTCATATGTTAATTTAATGTCACCATTTGTACCTACTTTCTGCAATCAGAATATAAAATGTTAGCCAATGAAGCAGTAACAAAAATATCAAACTGCATTACCTTCTGCTGACTTGGGACTTACTCCAAGCTATTCTTGAAAGCAAGGTCGCAAGTGTTTATTGCATCTCAGGAGACAGTACCTTTGCAGGATTAAAGCTGCTAGCTCATAATTTAAAGTGTAACATGGAACATTGTCATTTTTGTAATCTAACAAAATAAATTATTTTTTCAAGCAGTGCATAGCATCTGTATTCATTTGTCTAACACTGCCAAACTTTTGTGAAGACCTGTTTTATGTAATTGATCTTTTTTGTTTTGTATGAAATACAGATGTGTGATGTGGATTTTTGTTGTCCAATTTTGCTTTTTAACTTGCCTCTAAGAACATAATATACTCTTGGATTTTTTCTTTGTTTTCTTCTACTATAAATTTTGTTTAAAAACTAAGATGGTAGTTTCACGGTGAGTACTTTTCTTCAAAAGTGTGTGTTTAAAACACTTATGTAGATAAAAGATTTGTTTACCACTATGAACTGAAAAAATAAATCTGGCAACATACTGTAGTGTTACAGTAAGGGTGGGTCTTTACATTGGCCATGAATCCCTGTTTTCAGAGGTGTCCTTGAATGGGATAAGGCTGTTGTGCCTCTAGCCTCTTACAGAGTGTGAGTAACATTCATTTGACTGAACTTGGGTTTGGACAGATACTGCCTCCATAGTCAACAGTGTACCTGGGATCTGTGGTATCATTCATCTTACCCCGAAGTAAACACCCAGGGTTTGATCAAATAAATTGCTATATATAATAACTATATTGACTAGATCTCCATTTAGTAAAATGGGAAACCAGACAGCTACCTTAGAAGCATATGCCTGCATTATAGGCACAAGTCAGGCGGGGTTCACCATGTCCACCCACAGGGCGGGGTCTATCCGTGTGTGCATCATCTGGATTCCAGGATAAGGTCTTGATGACCTTAAATAAAAGACATCACCGGGGTCAGTGGAACAGGATACAGTTAAACATGCAAAGAGATTGAGCCATCACAGTATTTAATGGAACAAAAATAATTGTTGCTGAAAAGTTCCACAGAGCTAAATTTATATGGAAGCATTTAAGGGAAAAGCAAAGCTTTGCATTATATTTTAAAATACATAGTAAAAAAAAAAAAAAAAAAAAGAAATCCTTATTCTGGTTTCTCATAACAAGATGGCCAAACTACAGTTTCTTTATATCCTGAGAAAGGATATATATACTCACTGAAAGTTTATAAGGCTATATACTCACTGAAAGTCTGTAACAGTTTTACTAATTCAGTTCTCAATTACATATTCCCCTGCCTTTTGGAGTTAAGAGGTTTTGCATGTCTTTTACATAGTCTTGTGATCTGCAGTTGTTTTATGATAAACATCTTTTTCCCTTCTCAGACCATTTTTTAACTGACCTTGGTGTCTGCAGAGTTGTTTCTCTCACATATTCTCACTCTTTTCTACTCGTTGCTGTTGCTCAGCAGTTTTTTTTTCTCCTTCTTAAATGTGATATCCCAGAGGTGCTACCACTGTCGCTGATGGGCTCGGCCTTGGCCAGTGGTGGGTCCATCATGGAGCCAGCAGGAATTGGCTTTATCAGGCATGGGGGAAGCTTCTAGCAGCTTCTCCCAGAAGCCCCCCCTGTAGTCCCTGTACTACCAAAGCCTTGCCACACAAACCCAATGTACATCAGTATGTTGGCTCTAATTTTATCTGTAAAACTAAGGTCAGTTAGGTTGAAAAAGCGGCCGATACTTGACAGTGTCCTGTAGCTATGTCAACAGAAATCATGAATTTACAAGCTTTCATACACACAAGCAGTACATGAATAGGAACAGTCACTAATGCCACAGAAACAGCAACAAGGACAAATTTTACTGTGAATGTTTTATATTTCATTGGAGCAGATATTTTACAGAAATATATTTTGAATACATTCTTGCATTTAAGAAAAGACATTTGAAAGTAACAGTAACTGACATTAAGTAATTATGCCTTTTAATTGGATGTGAAAAAGTAATCTTTGGTTCCAGCTACTGCTAGGCCACTGCTATTCACATTTTCTGGGGTTTTAGAGGTGGGTTGGCCTAAAATATATTAAGTTGTAATAGCTCTCACCTAGGATTATTAAAAAAAAAAAAGCGTAAGAGCTTTGGCCATCACTTTTCTTGATAGACTTCTTAACAGTTCTTGATTTAAGCTGGAAGTTCTGGCCAAATTCCAACTTAATTTGTTACATACACTTTTTCTACCCTCTGGCATTTCACTGGAATATGGAATTTTTTCTTCATATCAATGTTGCATTTTTTTTGCATGACTGTTCTCTGTGGGAGGCAGGATAGATTAGTCCACAAATGATCAGGGCAGGGAAAAGAAAAAGAGAATCTGAGCAATATGAACTTAGAGCTGTCCTACACTCTAAATACCCGACACAGGTATGTAACCTTCCTGTGTCTCACAGAACTGATTTCTGAAGCCTAGGACAGTTGATGTGCTTATAAATCTATAATTTGAATATAACTATAAAATATACAAGATCTATGCTTGTATCTGTTGGTCCACATTTTTAAATCACACTGCTTATATATAAATGATATGGTCTCAGTGTTAGTAACAATGTGGAGAAGGAGCTTGAGGGTATTCATAGAATAGTTTAGGTTGGAAGGGACCTTTAAAGGTCATCTAGCCCAACCCCCCTGCAGTAAGCAGGGACATCTTTAACTAGATGAGGTTACTCAGAGCATCATCCAACCCAACCTTGAATGTTTCCAGGGATGAGGCATCTACCACCTCTATGGGCAACCTGTTCCAGTGTCTCACTGCCCTCACAGTAAGAAATGTCTTCCTTATATTTATTCTGCATCTACCCTCTTTTAGATTAAAACCATTACTGCTTGTCCTATTGCTACAGGCCCTACTAAAAAGTCCTTCCTCATCTTTCCTGTAGGCCCCCTTTAAGTGTTGAAAGGACACTATGAGGTCTCCCCAGAACCTTATCTTCTTCAGGCTAAACAACCCCAACTCCCTCAACCTGTCCTCACAGGAGAGGTGTTTCATCCCTCTGATCATTTTTGTGACCCTTCTATGGACTCAATCCAACAGGTCCATGTCTTTCCTGTGCTGAGGACTTCAGAGCCAGACACAGTAATCCAGGTGGGGGTCTCACCAGAGTGGAGTAGAGGGGCAGAATCACCTCAACCTGCTGGCCACACTTCTTTTGATGCAGCCCAGGATACGGTTGGCTTGCTTTTTTCATGCTTGGCCTTGTTGAATCTCATGAGATTCACATGGGCCCACTTCTTGAGCTTCTCCAGGTCCCTCTGAATGGCATCCTGTCCCTCAGGTGTGTCAACCATACCGCTCAGGTTGGTGTCATCTGCAAATTTGCTGAGGGTGCACTCGCTCCCACTGTCAATGTCATTGATGAAGATTTTAAACATGGCTTGTCACAGGTGAGCCTGATATTATCCCCTTCCCCCTTCAAGTCTCATTTAAAGCTCTGTCAATCATCCCTGCTAGCTCACAAGAAAAAACCCTCTTCCCCCTTTGAGAAAGATGAATCCCATCTGACACCATCAGGCCTGGTTCTGTGTGGACCATCCTATTATCAAAAACCCCAAAATTCTGGTGGTGACACCAGCCACGGAATATTGCAGTTCCACTGTAAGGCACAGAGCCGTAGGAAATCTGGCTTCATTAATTTCAGAACTGCTTGGGTTTCTTACACGATTTTCCCTGAGATGAATTTGTAGTTGGTAATATGTGAGTATGAACATGTTTACAAGTGATCCTAAAGAGAGGGAAAAAAACACTACCCAAACAAACTATTATTTTTAAAATCTTCCCACTGCTTCTGAAGGTCAAATTTCAAGTACAAATCCATTCTGTTTTTTTTTTTTTTTTTTTTTTTTTTTTTTTGTTGTTGTTGTTTTTGTTGTTGTTGTTGTTTTATATGTTTATAAGTATGTTGGCTGGCATTTTTACCTTGCAGTGGACAAAGAGCAGCTTCAACTCTAAGATACTGGGTTTTGCCAGATTTTTTTAAAGAGGTAAAAATAAAAAATAAAAAAAAAAATGTTATACATGTCCCCTATATATACTGGAACTTCTAAAATATTGTACATTTACTTTGCTTTTATCAATTTTTTAGTGATGTTTATTTTCAATGTTTCTTATTTCCATCTGCAGCTTCCGTTGAACATAGTGAAAGCAAAGCAGTTATATTACATTTTTAAATGTTTTTTAAGGTCTGTGCTTAGTTGAAGTCACAGGTGCTCCATGTGGAGCATGATGGAATTTTGCTGGCACTTTATAAGAAAGAGTTACAACAAGAATAATAATAAATAGTCTTAGTAATCCACAGTGAAAAAAAAATGCCAGAAACATCCTATTATATGGGGTCTGCATTACTAAACCATTTAGGAATTGGGATTCCATTGTACTAAATACCACAAAAAAAGAGGAAAACTTACTGCAGGTGCCTTTAAAAAGCTTTTAAAAGTAGAAATATATATGCAAATTTTGTATTAGCTTGTTTCAGCTCATCTTTCCTAAAGAATTGGTAATAGAATTCTCCCTGGAGTCAGCAGATATGGAAGAAAGGTATTTTAGAACTACTGGAAATTTTGGGTGGGGATCAGCATTAACTGGAGCAGTCTTGTATTGGTGGCCTATAGTGTTGGCCTGTGTTCTGGCCTAGTGTACTCTCCCAAAGTATTGGGTATCTCTCCATTGCTTCTGGAGGAGGTACCAGTGTATAGCTGTTAATGGAGACTTCAGCTTGAGCTGCATCCCTTGACAACAGAGCTCTGAGGATGGCAGACAAATACACTACTGGTTCTTTCACAAGTGAAAGCAAGAAGTTTATTCTAGTCTCCTTTTGGATACCTTAATATGTGATCCTTAGGTAAAATTGAAAAAGGAGGAAATACTCTCTGGAAAAGGCTTCCTGAATACCACTGCTGCAAGCACCAATAGTTCTCCAGAAGACAGGATAATTATGAGGACAAGTCAATCAACGTCTCTGATGCACTTAGCTATGCACCCCATTACAGCTCAAACAAGATTTTTCAATGAGTGAGGAAGGTAGATTGATATAAAGAGTAGGAAAATTGGTTTCATGGGAATTTCAGTGGTAGTCTCAGGAAAATGCATTTGTTGTGTTCTCAGATAGAAGGTCCAGTTGGCCCTAAGTCAGTAGTCTGG